CAGCGCCGAGAGGCTCCGGGGGAGCCGCAACGCTCCGGGCCCGGAGCCCGCGCGAGCCCCGGTCTGGTTCGCGCCGCGCCGGGCAAGGCTCCTGCTTCCCCGCTGCCCTTCCTGCAGCACCGCACCGGAGTTTCCTTGGCGGGCGGGAGGTGGTTTGGTTTGTTTGTTTGTTTTCTCTTATTTCCTTTTCTCTCTCTCTCTCTCTTTCGGGTTGACTCTGGTATCAGGTGGGTTACTTACACAGGCTTCTCTAGAGCCACGCGTGGCAGAGATTAGACGGGTAACTTTGCTACACTGCCTTGAAATACCTGCTCTTCCTCAGAACCTGGGCGAAAAAAACACTCCTGCCTTTTCCCAAGCTGGCCAGGGTCGTGGGCTGTGGATTTTAACACTGTGGCTGTTTTCACTTTGGAAAAGCTACTTCAAGCTATTCTTTCTTTACACATTCTCATTTCCTCGCCTGTCTTTCCTATCCTCCTGTTCTTCGCAGAATTATCAGGATACCTGGGCTCAAACAACCTAAAGATCAAAATCCCAGTAAAAACAAGGACTAAACTTCCAGACCATTCTTAACGGTCCTAACCCTCCCCTGCTTTTACAGTGTGCAGAGACACAACACTGGCGCGCTTTGCAAAAATACAGCTTCTAGACAGTCACTTAGGGTGAGTAACTCGCAAATGATTCATGCCAATAAAACTCTTGTAAGTTCGCTGTCTACTTCATGGGTGCGGGTACAATGTGCTTACACTTCAGGCTGAATAAGTAAAGGTTTTAATCTAGCCTCCATGTATAAGCAAATTTCTGGATAACTCTCATTTCAAGGCTGAAAAGTATAATACTTGCCTCTCAGGCAGGCTCCTAAAGCTGCATCTGAAGGAAAGTAGGTTGTTCACCGGAGAACTTCCTTCATTTTTCTCTGTCAGCTTAAATTAGACCTTTTAATTTATCTGACTATGCTATTTTAAATGCCTGTTTTCCTAACTAGAGCATTATAATTCTATAGCTTACATCCTCCGAGCCTTGTTAAGCATGACTGGGACTGATTGCTCTAAAACCTACTGCCATAGCTTTAATTCAAAAGAACATATTTGATCAGGTACCATGATGGGTATCTTTTCCATCCTTTGGAAAAACTCCTTTATGCATATTTATGCATATTTCCATTTTAAAAAGTGGATACCAAGAGCAATCTATCAAACTGTCAGGGACTTTGTTACTAGGCCGTGTAGCAGGATAACGTTGCATACCTATTTGCCTAGCCTAGCCACTGCATGCATGCCTAGCCACTCTACCTGTGTTTTCATAGTGTGTCTCACCTTCAATATGTCTTTCATGAGAACTGTCAAAGCTGGAATAACTGTGTTTTACACTGAATGCTCATGTTTTTTTTTCTGTAATATGAAAAAAAGAGTGAACTCTCCCTTCTCAAAAGCCTCCCAACCCAGACGCACACGCACACGAGCTGATTTCTCAACTGTCTCATGGTTTTCTTTCCTCAGGGCTGATATCTTACTGTGATGGCTCAGGGAAGCTGTGGCGGATCTGGGTGAACTCTGTACCTGTCTGCATCGATGTTGCAAAGGTGCTGCTGCCCTCTTGCCTTGCCTTGCCTTGCCTTGCCTTCCCTTCCCTTCGCTTCCCTTCCCTGCCTCCCGGCCTCGCACTTGATGCCCCGGAGGAGCCGCCTTGCTGGAAGGGAGATTATCTTGTCAGTGGAGCCACTCAGCTGTATCCGTGGCCATCTGATAGCGGCTGTTTAGGGGATCACCCAGCAGAACAGCAGTTATTAGAGCCCAAGTGCCAGGAGCTATGTCTTGTCAGATATTTTCAGCAGCTCTGTCTGAGACGCGGCACCTGCAACAG